TACCTCTGTTTGGCAAAATACTAAGGGTTTTAATTAATTCTGAATTAAGCATCTCACATCGCAGAATATTCTTTCAGATAAACAACATGGATTTCGCTTCTCTAGGTCAACTGCTCATGTCTTAACAATTTATGCTGAAAGACTCTATCAAGGCGCAAGGAAAATTAAATGAAAAGCTTCATCGCAGTACCTTGTCAGTCGACTTTAACGAAACATGTATAAAAGAGGGACTGCTGCCTAAATACATATATATATATATATATATATATATATATATATATATATATATATATATATATAATAAAGGGTTTTTCATTAAGACGGATTATATAAAATGTGAAAAATAATATCGCTCAAAATGTCGGCCAAGCCTGAAAAAAATTATTAAAGGCATAAACTTAATTCACATTTAAAATTGGTCCAAGTTATTGGAGTATCCGTTACATATATTTTCTTTATATATTATTTTATATGCACAGTACTTATTGGAAAGGGCTCAATATCAATGATATAGCTAAAATATCCAGTTGTATGGATATGAGATTGTGACCCTGGGTTTCACGTTTTTTTGCGATCATCAGTCAAACCAGAGTTTGATGATCGCAAATGCGTGAAACCCAGGGTCACAAACACATACCAATACAACTGAATATATATATATATATATATATATATATATATATATATATATATATATATATATATATATATATGAATGAATGAAAAATTTCTCAGTTAACCTGTAAAAAAAAGACAATATTTATAAATGCCAAAAAAAGAGAATAGGAAAACTGTCATAGTAGCCGTTTCGTCCAATCTGGACTTTTTCAAGGCAAAAACGAAAATGAATTTATTAAACAAAGTAACTAATAATAACAAAACAAAATGTCCTTAGCAACTGGAAGAATTTAAAGAACGCTATTTTCATACTGTTAACTGAAAATTACGTCACTTCCTGTCACGTGTGGAGATATTGCTTTTATTGTTGTGTTGACGAATTCAACCATTTTCTTTTGATTTCTTGATACTGTTCTGTATGCTTGATTGGGAGAGTAGTAATTCTGTTAAGAAAGATGAAATATGGAAAAAGCCTGGGCTGCCATTAAATATTACCTATATATTAATCTACGCTCAAGCTTAGAGTTCTCTAGATTCTTCCAGTTGCTAAGGACATTTTGTTTTGTTATTATTAGTTACTTGGTTTAATAAATTCATTTCGTTTTTGCCTTGAAAAAATCCACATTGGACGAAGCGCGTCGGCAACTATTAGTTTTCCTATTGTTTTTATATATATATATATATATATATATATATATATATATATATATATATATATATTGGAATTCAAGAGAAAATTGAAAAAGAAAAGTTCTACATATCATTTAACAATAGTTCTTTGTCTACAGAGTGATATTTTCTTCTGACGGGTAAGCATGATCAAAACCCAACTCTAACTTATTTTTTTATCGAAGTAAGTCTGTGGTTTGTGTCATTCATTTGCATCGTAGAATAAAAGTCTCTAACCTAATTCTTAGTAAATTACTTTGCATCCAGCTATCTTAATAGTGTTTCCTTTTTTAGAACAGTTGTTAGAATAATAAATAATGCGTGACATAAATGTCTTTAGCTGTATGTGTGTGTCGGCATCCCCCTCTCTCTCTCTCTCTCTCTCTCTCTCTCTCTCTCTCTCGATCTCTCAATCTCTCTATTTCTCTATTTCTTATACTCATACTCTCTCTTTCTCTCATGCACCAACACATATACACTCTCTTTCTCTTTCGCCCTCATGCAATTTTATGGGCTCCCTCTGCTTCTATCTGATACAAGCGCTCCCTCTATTATACAACACTACGCAAGCTCACCCCCACAGTTACGCCAACGTACTTCTCCTCCCAAATCTTCTCTCCTCTCAATTCTTTCTATTTATCTCTCTTTTACCACACATACATATTCTTCCTCCACAACATAGACATTCACCCTCACTGTCTTTTGCATTCATCGACTTTGTTTTTCTCTTACGTACAAACTTTCTTTCTTCTCTTTCTCTCTCTCTCTCTCTCTCTCTCTCTCTCTATCTATCTATCTATCTATCTATCTACCACTCTCTGTCTCTGTGTGTGTGTGTGTGTGTCTCTCTCTCTCTCTCTCTCTCTCGACGATATTTTATGCATTTTAGCCCTTTAGGCTTATGTAGATATAGGTTGGGGCTATGAATTTCGTTGCTCCAATCGCGGTTTACGTATCAATAAACAATATAATCGTATATGCGAGGTCCGAATAAGCTGACCTTGAAAATATATCTGATACTTTGTTATTTGATCGATTTTAGGGAAGTGGGTCGGGCCAAGAATATTTTAACGTCACCCACATCTGTTGGGTCCAGAATATATTTACGTCTACTTTCAGCATCCCTTTTATTGCTTAATCAAGTTTCTCCTTCTCCCTTTTCTTCATCAAATTCTTTTTCTTCTTCTTCTAATTTGTCTTTTTCAAATTTTTCTTCAAATTCTTCTTTTACTTAAAATTGTTAAAATTCTTCTTAAAATTCTCTCTCTACTTCTCAATATTCTTCATCAAATTCTTCATCTTCTTCAAATTATTTTTCAAATTCTTCTTAAAATCCTTCAAATTCTTCTGAAAATTCTTCTTAAGATTCTTCTTTAAATTGTTCAAATTTTCCTTATTCTTCTTCAAGCACTTCAATTAACAAAGCGTCAAATTCATAGGAGCAGCGTCATTAGCATTTCATTCATTGACCAGAAAACGAAAAGTGAGAAAGACTTAAAGTAAAAAACAACAAAACAAAAACAATAAAACCCTTACAGTGAATTAACCAAACGGAAACCGTAATGTGAAAAAGATTATTGTGAAGTCAGTCACGTAATGCCCGAGGCGACTTTGATACAAAATTGTTGACGGCAGCTTCACTTCATTATTCACTGACTTTTTTTTTTTTCATTCCTTATCGTTTATTTACATATAGCATTTTCTTATTTTTTTAGTTTTTTTTTTTTCAAATACTCAAGAGATGTTGGTATCAAAATGTGGTGAGAATTGTATTGTGTATTTCCACCTCTCATTTTAAAAGAATATAGATTGAATTATTTCCGTCATATTATCTGACGTATAGATAGATAGATATGAACTGACAGTGATAGATATATCCAATATTGAGCAGGATCCTTCTATAACTATAGCAAATTTAAAAATATATATATATATATATATATATATATATATATATATATATATATATATGATGTTATAACGAAAATCTTGGAAATCTGTATGGATAATCCCAAGGTGGTGAAATACAAAGTATGTAATTACGTATATATGTATGTGTATGAAATTATCAGATAGATAAATGTATACATTACATACGTACATACAAGCATGCATAGCTAGGAAGCGACAGATAGACTGAAACTGATAGTCACCACGCTCTGTTGATTCCTGTTCACATTAACTATAATCGTTCTATTTCTGATTCTGAGAGATCATCCTCCAATTGTATAGCAAACGTCAAACAATATATATATATATATATATATCATGTTTATGGGTATGAAATTATTTCATAGATAGATGGAAATAAACAGACTGGGATAGATAGATAGATAGATAGATAGATAGATAGATAGATAGATAGATAGATAGATATAAACAGTCTGGGATAGATAGATAGATAGATAGATAGATAGATAGATAGATAGATAGATAGATAGAAATAAACAGACTGGGATAGATAGATAGATAGATAGATAGATAGATAGATAGATAGATAGATAGATAGATAGAAATAAGCAGACTGAGATAGATAGATAGATAGATAGATAGATAGATGGAAATAAGCAGACTGAGATAGATAGATAGATAGATAGATAGATAGATAGATAGATAGATAGATAGATAGATAGATAGATAGATAGATAGATAGATAAAAAAAAAACAGACTGGGATAGTGTTGGGGCGTACCCACCTTCTAACTAGAAATGGACTGGTCCCTCTTATATAAGTCAGCTCTAGAGAGAGGACGAGAGAGCGAGACACAGAGCGTCAACAGTCCAGATAATCTTACCCGAGACATACCGTTTGACTATAGACTTTGGATATTGTTTCGTACTAACCAACCTTCGTTCTACTAATCACTCTATTGTTAATTGCTTTTATGAATATACCAGTATTTTCCTCTACAACTGTGTTTGTCTTGATTCATACACCGACACGCGGGAAACTCACAACATCTCAACAGATAGATAGATAGATAGATAGATAGATAGATAGATAGATACATATTTTACACTGAGATTCACCTTGTACCAGACCGAGGAGAAACTCGAGATCGAGTATTACGGTAATCGTCTGTTTAGTGGAAAACGGAGGAGATAACAGTTAAGACTTGATAGGTTCACATTGTATTAATCGGGGAAACATCCTCTTAGGAGCTGGTTCCACAGAACAGTGGTTTGATATGAACAAAATGAGATAGATAGATAGATAGATACATAGATAGATAGATATGAATTTACAGTGTGTTAATTTCGCCATTTTATTTACTTAAATTTATGCATGAGCCTTGGTTGTTTTTTATTTTTTCGACTTCACAGTAGGCTCAGTTGGGAACCGTCTTTACAAAAAGGCACACCATGACGCAATTCACTCTGCCAGAGATTTGAAAACATCATGCTGTACTGTTTGGCATTCGCACCGGAAGTTCCAATACAGATATTTCAGAGTGTCTGGGTGTCAAATTGGAGGATATATCCAGTCATCATCATGGTGTTTGGAATGATCCCTAGTGATGACGTCGTTATGCCCCCAGTCATCTTTCCACAGGGATCCAGAGTCAACAGTGTGGCCCTCATCTAGTGCCCTGTGAAGGTAGTACTGCCCTGGAACAAGGGAGTGGCTGCTGGAAGATGTCTGGCAACAGGACTCAGGGACCATGCCACATGAGCAGGAGAACACAGTCATATCTGTCAGACAATTACTGCGACTATATCACCGCTTACATCCTGGCCACGTAACTCCCCAAATTGCAACCCCCTTGATTATTACGTGTGGGGCGCAATTGAGAGAGGGACCACCAAATCTTGCAACACTAAAGATAAACTGAAGGCAAGGAGTAGGGCAGCATTCACCAACTTAAACAATAGACCGTTCAGAAGAGTTGCAGGAGATTCCGAAGTCGTCTGGAGAGCGTGGTTGAAGCCAATGACGATTTTATCGAATAAATTTACTCTTTAGTATTTCAGGGTATTTTCGTGTAATTTTGGTAAATATATCTGTTAAAATGAGATGATAGCGTTAATTGCATTTTTGCGCACTTTAGACAACAATTTATCAATCGTACCCTGTAGGTAGGTAGATAGATAGATAGATAGATAGATATGAAGAAACTACGATAGATAGATAGTGATTTTCTAAGCCCAGCTTAGATGTGGCGCAAGGCCGAAAGTATGGGGTACCCAGTGAGGATCGAACTCACTACTCAGTCGTAACTGATCTAGCAAGACAAGCTTTCTAACCATTACACCACGTCGAGGTGCCCATACTACGATAGATAGATATGAAGAAATTACGATAGATAGATGCATAGATTTTAATTATTTCCATAGAATAATCAGTTCGAGATAAATGAATATAAGGTACCCACACACACACACACATATAATTTTATGTTGCAAATATACATCTATGTGTGTATGCGTGTGTGCGTGTGTGTGTGTGTGTGTGTGCGCGCGCGCGCGCCTGTATGTATGCAGATACGTATTCAAACTTAGGTGTACATATGAATCCATGCAAACAGAAAGAAGTTCGGCCCGTGATGACTTTTCCACGTCGGAAACGTGTAATATCTTTCATTTCCGTGCAAATAATTTGATGCGCTTTTCGCACCTACTGGCGTCGACTTCATCTCAAAAGATGAGAAGCTAACCTAGTTATCTCTTCAGTTAAGCACCTCATCTGTGAGCTTTCTCTTTTTCTTCTCAAGTCAAGATTAAATCATCTTTTTACACACCTTGTCTTTTCCACCTGACATCAATACTCTCTGATAAACATTCAGATTTTTAATTATTGTTTCCGTTCTCTCAGCCTCCACACAGATTGCGTCCTTCACGGTAAACCAAGTAACAATAAATCATCTCATATTACAAGAGCCGTTTTGGGGTTCTTACAAAAATATCTTGCAGTCAGAATTCACACCGCCTCATTTTTAAACATTTTAAAAAACAAGTACGTCGATATAAACAAATTTTGGAAATTAAATGGCTTAAAATGCGCTTAATTTAAATGAAATGTACGGCTCTGGTGTTTATACCATTAACATGACTCGCATTTTAAACTAAATTCATTTTTTTCGTGCAAAATAATTTCGTACCAACTCATAGGTTTAAACATAAAAAGAACGACCTCGCCAAATATTTTTAACCTAAGTCAAGGATTTGAGTGTTCAAAATTTTAGCATATATTTTTAAATTGATTCGAAGAGCTTTCGTCTTAAAGACACTTATCGACATTACTTTTTTATACTAAAATAAGAGTTTTAGTTTTTTAAAGATCTTTTCTTCCTCTACCATGTCCCATTGTTAACAGGTAATCCGAGAAAGTGCTTCAATACAGCTGCCATTTTCAATATTTCTGAGCTGGTTCGGCGGCATGCATGAAATCCTTATGAAAGTCTCCGATGAGGCTACTTAAGAATATGACACGTATTTTAGGTTAATATGTTTGTTTTATAGCAATTTGCCGTGTTGGAGAAACATCCTCAAGCGCAGCCTATTCTATGTTCAGTTTTCTTTTCTCCTATACTAAATTTGTTATAACTGATCCACACACCAAACTATTTGAAGTCTTTAAATTATATTCATTGACCTAAATTATATTCATTAACCTAAATTATATTCATTGACCTAAATTTTATTATTTATGTTTTTTTTTATAAGTTAAAACGTAAAAAAGGATGTATTTATCGAAGAAATATTTTGTGACCGCAGTTTTATATAAAGAATGATTTCTTTCTTCCTAGTACATGGAATTACGTAAGAATCAACTTAGACTATGCAAATGCCTTAAACCCTTCGCCTTGTGTGTGTGTTTGTGGGTTTCTGTATGTTTGTGTGTGTGTTTCTGTATGTTTGTGTGTGTGTTTGAGTTTGTGTGTGTGTATGCCTGAGTATTTTTGTGTGTTTGTGCGTGTATGTTTGCGCTTGTGTTGGTGTGTGTTTGTGCTCGTATATTTGGGTGACTTTGTGTTTGTGTCTGTGTTTGTGTGTGACCTGTGAGTATTTTTGTGTGTTTCTGTATGCTTGTGTGTGTGTGTTCTGTGTGTGTATGTGTTTCTGTGTGTTTATGCGCGTATGTTTGTGTATGTCTTTGTATTTGTGTGTATGGTTGTGTGCGTCTGTGAGTATTTTTGTGCGCGCGCGCGCGCGTGTGTGTGTGTGTGTGTGTGTTTGCAACGACTCCAGTAACCTCTTCTACGTTGTATTGCTGGCATTATTTGGATCATTATCAAATGTCCTTGATTTTTGAAAAAAATCTGTTTATATATATTCATACTTTTTTGTTTTTTGTTTTTTGGGTTCTTTTGTTTGTTTGTTTGTTTTTTTTTTTCTGCAAAAAAATGTAGTAATGTTCTACGACAGGAATACATTGAA